CTTGGTGCTATTTGTGGGAATAAAAACTGGAAGAGAAGGACGGGGTGGAGTGCAGAGGTGTCAGAGGAGAGACTTCTCAGTATACAGGAAGCGTTTGTTCGGTCCATGTTCATATACAGGAGGCACTCAACAATTTGCTGTATACAATAGGTGCTCAACATATTTGCAAGTGGCAGGTGCTTAGATATGTTTGCGACATACAAAAGGTTCTCAACATACGCTTGCTGTATATTTGGAGGGCACAAGGCTGAGCACTGGCAAGTGCTCTCGGTGTGCTCGGTGCACACCGCAGGTACTCAGTACACGACTGTGCACAGGAGGGACAACGCATGCTTGCCGCAGAGTGACACCTGCTTTGTGTGCACAGCAGGCACTTCATGTGCTTGCTGTATACTACGGGCGCACTCTACGCTTCCTGTGTACAAGAAGTGGTCCATGCATGCTGGCAGTATACAGTAGGTGCTCTGTGTGCTTACTACACACAAGTACTGGGTTATGCTTGTCGTATACAGCAGGAACTCGATGCCCGCTTGCTGTATATATATATGGCAGCAGGTCATGCCTGCCTACTGCATACAGTAGGTGCTCAGTTCTGCTTGCTATACATAGCAGACAGTCGGTGGTATCTGTTTGCTGTAGGCAGGAGGGGCTCCGTGCACACTCCCTGTATACAGGGGGTGCATACGTGGATGCGGCCGTTGCTTGATCCATGTGCTAGCGCCAAGAACAAGTGCCCAACACCTGCTCGCTCTCCACGGGCGCGCTCTCCACGTGCTTGCTGTATACAGCAGGTGCTTAATTTCTACTGTATAGAGAAGGTGCTCCGTGCATGTTTATTATCTACAACAGGTGTGTGCCTGATACCAGCAGGTTCGTGGCACTGCCTGTGGCATGCAGGATGCACACTCTGCGCACACTGGCCCTACAGTTAGGCAACCTACAGGTTACCTGCTTGCTGTATCCAGCAGGCACTCAGTACACGCAGTGGTATGTGCACTGGATGTGTAGAGTGGATGCCCAGTACCTGCTAGCTGTATGCAGGAGGTGCTCCGTGTATGCTTGCAGCATATACAAAAAAAGTTCTTAAGGTACACAGCAAGGGCTTGATAACATGCTCTGTACACGGCACACGCCTCCCTGCTGGCTGCACGTAGGTGGGGCTCCCACGCACACGCGCGGCGCGGGCGCCGCTACCCTTCGCCGCGCGCAGCCAGCCGCACGTCGCCGGCCCGCGGTCGCCCCGGGCGCGCGCCCGCGCTGACGCCCCTGCCCCGCCCCCAGGCAAGAAGAACTCGATCCTGCTGCACAAAGTGCAGCACGACCTCAACTCGGGCGTGTTCAACAACCAGGAGAACGCCATCATCCAGGAGATCGTCAAGTACGACCGCGAGATGGTGCAGCAGGCAGAGCTGGGCCAGCGCGTGGGCCTCTTCCCACCGCCGCCGCCGCCGCAGGTCACCTCGGCCATCGCCACGCTGCAGCAAGCTGTGGCCATGAGCTTCTGCCCGCAGGTGGCGCGCCCGCTCGTGGGGCCGCTGGCGCTCGGCTCGCCGCGCCTCGTGCGCCGCAGGTAAGCGCCCGTCCGGCCCGCGCCCCGCCCGGGGGCCTGGCTGCCTCCCGCGCCGGGTCTCGGGGAACCCCGGGCCCCCCGCAGCCCAGGCCCGCGCTCGGGGCGGCCGCGTGCTCCCCCGAGGTGGCCCTTGCCTGGTGGGGGGGCGGGGGCTGGGAGCACCGAGGGCGCGGGCGGTCCCCGTCTCGCGGCCCCGCGGCCTCCCCGGCCCGCCGAGTGGGGGAGGGTGCGGGGCCCCAGAGGGCCACCCCGAAACCCCGCGCGGCCCGGGGCCGGGACCGGGGGAGCAGGGGCAAAAAACAAAAGTCGGGAAGATACACCAGGGCGTTTACAGGTTTCCCGCAGCCCGGCGCGGGCCGAGTGTGAGCGCGCCAGTGTGCGGGTGAGCGTGAGTGCGTGTGTGCCGGGGGAGGCACTGCCCGGGATCTCTGGCCACCGCGGGGGTGGGGGGGCTGCTTCGGCGGGGTACCAAGCACGCCTGACCCCCCCCCCTCCCCGGCAGAGCCTGGACCGGGCTTCTGCCCACCGGACGCGGCTCTGGCCAGGTCCCGGTAAAACCCGCCATCTCTGCCACCTTGCCTGGCAGGGGTGCAGAGATGAGTGAGGTCCGGGACGGGGCAAGGAGGGGAGCCTGGGAAGGCTGGAGGCCAGAGGGAGATGGTGGGGGAGAATTTGGGGACCTCTGGCCAGCCCAGCCTGTCCCCGCACACTTGGAGGCCAGGAAGTTTTCTCCCCAAACACATCAGCAGGGGTCAGAGAGGTAGAGAAAACAGGAGCCTGCGGTTAAGTTTTTAGCAAGGCTCTCACTGAATACCCTCTTTTTATAAAAGTTTGCAAGCCACTCAGCATTGTGACAAAGTACCCGGACATTAAAGGGACAACTAGAATAGGCATGATTTTGGAATACATTAACATTAAATGCCTCTTGTCATTTGACTACTTCTTTTTGCTTCTGTCCCTGAAAAATAAAAAAATTAAGTTAAAAACATACAAACCTCACACCTGACTTGTCCCTAAAGGAGGTTTTGGGGTCAGCCAAATGTTCCTTCCCCCAAGCTTCCACATCTCAGGGAATAGGCCCATAGTCAACTCAGTTGCTGGGAATTTTCCTCTATCCCGTACCCCCATGCCTTGAACTCAGTCTGTTAGCAAGTTCTGTTGGGCTTACCTGCGTGTCTGGGTCCGACCCTTCTTTCTCACAGTCTCCATCCTAGTGCAGGGTACCAGCATCCATTTCCGGTATGATTACAGTCCTTCCCTCTCCACTCTCCAGTTCTTTATTTGACAGCCAGAGTGATTTTTTTAAATAGGTAAATCAGAATGTGTCAATCCTCTGCTTAGAACTCTGCAATAATTTCTCCTTGTGATTGGCATGAAATCCAGGACACCTCCTTTCCCTCCGTTGATGTGGGGTCTGGCATCATCAACCAGCTGGCCAGTGCTCCTGCCACCACCCCCCCACCGGCCACCCTGGCCCATCTTGCTCTCCAGCATGTCGTCTCTGCAGTGTTGACCCCTGATTCTTCACATGGCCTGACACCCCCCCACTAAGCCCAGCCTCTTTCTCACATCCCTCGCTCACGGTCCTTCTGGAGTCTCCA